TTTTTCAAAATAGTACAAAGGGGGGACCTTTTGGGTCGGCAGATTTCGAATCCCTAAGGGGGAAGCGTCCGGTGACCGCTTGGCTAGCATAAAGCTCGACTAGCATCGAGGTGTGGAAAACATGAAATTGTATCGCTTAGCGTAAATTGGATAGCTTTATTTCTCAGAAATACAAAACAACAATCATAATCTTTTCAAAATGAACCAAATTTGCCTTTCTGCGAAAAAGAAAATTGAGCAAATGAGAAATAAAGCAATCAACTAGCAAATAAATGGATCGACTATTATACGCCCCCCCCCCTTAACATGCAACCACCAGCCCCCCCCCCCCCCCCATAATTCCCCTCAAGGATGAATTTTAATTCTGAAAACAAAGTTAATTTAACGTATTTCTTTATAGGGGCGGGTTAAACAAATTTGATCGATCAAATTAACATCCTCCGACCTTCTCCTCCCCCCCGCCCAAGTAGACCAATTTAAGATCCTACACCCCCAGCTATCAATGTAAACTAAATTTAGTGGGTGCTGCGTGTAAAAAGCTCTATTCTGATTGGCCAAGTTTGAACTCAAGGCAAATTTAACATCCTCACCCCCTAAACGTCTGGGGGGGGATTTTAATTTGGTCATATTTTTTTATTGAGTTCGTTCGAAATGCATATTTTACACAAAAATCATTTTTGAAATTCCAACTTGGCTAAGGGGGATATTTTACGGTACGTCATTTCGGGGGGAGGTTATGTTTAAAACTATCTAATGCTTAACCGTTGATTTAATTCTTCGCAGGGGGATATTCGCTATTAGGTACGCGAGATAGTGAACGGATAGTGAAAGAGATCCTGGAATTGTATGGTTGATCCATATTTTGAGTGTAATTTGGTTTATATTTGCCGGTATTTGTTTCACTTGCGATATCCAGGGACTTGTTTGAATTTCTATTTGGATTTTTGTGTAGTCGATACATTTTTCAATTTAAAACTTTTATGCTAGGCGAGATTTATGCTAGTCGTTACACCGCCAAGCGTCCGCCCCCCCCCCCCCCCCATTTTAAATCCGCTAGTGATTGCGTTTGCGAAGGGAGCTATTTCCATCTGATTTTATCGCTTATTTCTTGCAAGTTAAAAAATACTGAATTTTGATTGGCTGACATAAGTTTCGCGCCTTTGGTCCCTCGCGCATGAAGGAGTCCCCCTTTACAAATAGCAGTTGTGATGATTAATAGCTTGTGAAACCTATCATTCAAAAAGTTCACCGCTGAAATTTTGCCGTTGGGGAGCGATCGTTTAGCAGACCAATCTTTTAGCATAAAAGGTGAAAAATGAGTCTTTTTGCAGACAAACGTAATAAACTGATTCATGCATGACTGACAGAATCAAAAAGACGCTCAGTCTTGGGTCAAGCTTGTCTACTTAAGACAATTATCTCACGATTAGTCAACAAAACTATCAACTTCAAAAACAACAGTCTAAACTAAATGCAAAGCAAAATTTTACGCGCCCAATAACACTCATGTCGAATGGAAGCGCAGCGGAGCAAGTGGTTGCTAATAACGCCGCATTTGAAATTACCTTTCTGACTTGCTCATTGTTCCGAGCCTGCTAAAAAATTGGTCTGCTAAAAAACCAGTCTGCTAAAGTCGCTTGCACCATTACCGTTACTTGATAACGCATGATCGAAAGAGCGAACACTGGCTAATTGACTTGGAAGACTCTCTACCAACAATTTTAATAATGTTTTTGATGCACTGAGTAGGGAAAGTGCACCTCTTAAAAAAAGCATATTGTTTTTTGTAGGTAACATCCTCAGGTGTAATCAATGTCCATTTACTATCAAAAAACGGATGATAATTGATTGGAGTGCTTCAAAATTTAGCCCAAATATTTTAATTACATGCATGAAACAAAAATTTTTGTGAGACCTTTGAAGCGAGTCAGGTGATCTTCTTATTGATCAGTGGCTGTTCGGCTTTCTTCCATTTTTGGAGTCTGAAGACAAGGGTGAACAAAGGACGGACTCTTGAAAAAGTGAACAACTTTTAGTTCAACGCAGGTGTTTCGAATTGCGCGGCGTTTTTTTTAAATGTGCGTCTTTGTTTTAACAGGAATACTCTAAGATGGAAGCTGATTGAAAGATGAGAGGTGCTATGAAACTGTCAACTCTGCTGGCTTAGAAATAAACAAGACCACTCGTAGCAGTGCAAAGCCCTGAATGTTCCCCGTCCGATTGCCGGGTGTTTTTACTTATTCCGCCCAAATTTCACAATTTCGCGATTTTTTAATATTCAAATTGTAGATGCAGCGAACAAAAAATTGACCGCAGTATTGGCTTGGTTAAAACAAGAGCGATTCTTTAGCCGATTCCTAACAAGGCCGAAGTTTGAGTTGAAAGATGTGAAGGTGATCGTTTTGTCATGGAGCTATTTTCTGTCTTTCTTTCTGGTCTGGCTTTTTTTCTGGTCTCGTTTTAGGGAACTTTTAGGAAAATTTTGACCAAAAATGCCTATTTTTTTGGCTCGCGCTCCCCTTCACAATTAGTATATATTGGCTCCGAAGGAGCCCTCAGAAAATTTTAGGGTTGTTCAGGCAAAAATGAACCCCTGAGGTTGGTGAGTGGGTCGAATCGCTGAGGGAGGGGGCAGTAGAAATTATACGGCATCGAACCGTTGGTAGTAGAAAATAAAACAAAATGGTTGATTCAAAATCTTTTTAAATCCATTCTTTGGTAAACAAAAGTTTAATAGAGATCTCTATAATCTAGTTACCACAATCGTTTTAATCCCAGCTCATCAATAAGCGAACATGTTTTTGTTTAAATAAGAATAAACTGCTGCTGAAAAAATCTAAGCGCAACTACTTTGTGGTACCCACGACATGCATTTGGCTGATTTGTTTTGTGGAAAATAGTTGTCAATTAAATCAAAATTGGAACATATTTCTCGCATTAGGTCAAGTTGGATTCATTTTCATCTGTTTTAAAATCAAAATTTTTCAAGCTACAGTTTGTTTGACCATCGAAATTAATTTGAAATCCTTAAGTTATTTTGATGATTTTCATAGCCACTCTTTCTTTTCAAATATCTTATATCATCAATTTGTTTTAGCTTATTTTTTGATGTTATTTTTTCAGCTCCATTTTTCTCAAAAAATTAGACATTCTTTTTTTCTATTCAAAATCTTGCAATTTAATTATTTAATTGTGTCGCCAGTCAATTTATGCTGTTTTTTCAGCTGTTTTTTTTTCGGTTATTTGATCTGTTTTTTTCTTATGATGTTTTTTCAGCTTCATTCAAAAAAAGTTGGAAGTCCTTTTTTTCTATTCAATATTTTGCAATGTAATGATTTTATTGTGTCGCTAGTCAACTTATGCTGTTAAACCAATTGTTAACATTGTCCTAGACATTTCTGTAGATAGAGTTTTTGGACTTTTTAAACCTATTTTTCAGCCTATTTTTTTGTTGAAAAAAAGACTTTCTTGTTTTTTAACAATATTTTGTAATGTAATGTTTTTATTGTACCGCAAGTGTTGCGAAGCTCCGCTTCGCCCTTGTTATCAGGTTTTTTCATCAATGCAGCTACTAATGATAGACCCGAGAACCTGTGAATTTCTTAATTAATAATCTATAAAAGCAGGGGCATATCTATAATTGAAAAAAATTCAGTGAACACATACTAACTTTCAAAATAACTTGATAATAAAAGAATTGCAGATAATTTTTTTAAACCAGTGGCTACTCAAAGTAAAAACACAACAATTGGGCATATTTTTTTCCACAATTTCAGCAGACTTGCAATTTTGCAGTAAATTTGTTATGAGTTTTGAATTGCGTTTGAAATTGAGTTTTTGTATTTAAAATTTTTCCTGGGTAAAGGCTACTGAAGTTGTATAAAGAGGAAGCCCGGCCAGCGTGTTTTTCGTTACCAGCGGTGCGAGTATCGCGATTTCATGTTCACACTTTTCAGACTGAAACTTGGGTCTGTATCCGGAAGTGGCGCGACTTTCAAAGTCTGGACCTAAGTCTGGAACCTCGATCAGGGGATTAAGTTAATATAGATTGAAGTTTTGAGCAAATTGGCCAAAAAGCTATGTTTTGCGCGAATCGACCCAAAATAGCTGTTTTTGACAATCAATATATGTTTTTCTGTGTTCAACCTAGCTCTGCAATTAATTGACCGACACGACTCATGAAAGTCATTTTTCGAAAAGCTCTTATTTTGTTAAAGATAATCTCTCTACTAGGTTTGAAATAAATAATGCTCCGACAGTGATTGACTCAAAAAATAATGTTTCGACGCACTCGCTCGGATAAAAAACTGTTTGACTGTGCTCGGTTGAAGCGAACTTTGTTTCGACCAAAAAAACATCTGTCTGTTTCTGTAATCGAAATTCATAGATTTTTGTTTCGACCGACAATAATGTTCGGTTTTGACCCAGAATATTTTTTTTTACAATTTACGCTACTCAAGAAAAATATTAGCCTAACTGTTTTTGTTGAATGAAATAAGAGACTTATTAATGTCTCAAAAATCAGAAATTGAAATTGTTTTTGCATCGAGAGATAGTTAGGAACTTCAAATTCCTTGACAAGCTTTTTGTTTGTTTTTTGACAAAAAAATGCTTTTCGGTATTTTGTTAAAGATCATCTCTCTACTATGTTTCAATTTCAATGAGTGTTCGATCATGTTTTGACCAGAGTTTTTAACTATATTTTGATTGGTGTGTTAAACTACATGTTTTGACTTTGCGCTCGACTATATTTTGGAGTTATGGTCGATTATATTTTAAATTGTTGTTCCCGACGGAAGGGCTGCCTTCGACCACGAAATTTGGGTTGGATACTGTCCTTGTGTTTGGCCGATACGATCAAAACTTACATCGAACACCTGTTGACTACTAATCTTAACCTTGTAAGTCTGCTGACTCGAAGGCAGACTGTTCTTCAAATTTGTTGCTTTCACCTCATTTTCCAAGATAGTTGAAATAATTTAGAGAAAACTCAAACTCACCTTCAGTTTGTCAAGTAGATGTTATTATTTGCGGCAAACAGTTAAATTGTTTGATTCAGTGTTAAGATTAAAATTTATAATGGCATATTTGAGTAGTTTGTTCACAGAGAAATGACTGACAAACATAAAGCAACGATAATGCGATGGTTTTTCAGTGCTAAAAAGTTTTCATAAATTTTATAAATGACGCAAACTTTGTTAAATATACTGCTCAATGAGGTTCGCGTGTGCGTGTGTAATTTTAGAAATTAAGCTAAAATAGAGCAACTAGTTACTCTGCGAGTAGTAAAATGAATTTTGAATTTTGGATACTAAAAAAGAACCTCTCGAGCTTCATTTTTTTAGTTCAAATTGTCTACTCTTATTGCTTATAACTTGCATGTGCTTACATTCAGGCAGATCTAGGCGGATCTAGGATTTTCTCGAAGAGGGGGGGGGCGGATTTTTGGAAAATTTTTTAACAATGACTTTTTTGATCTCCAGTCTGTTTTGTCTGAATTTTCTGCGCCGCAGTCAAAAAACAGGTCAAAAGGCGTTTTTAGGCACTTGCGTTTTTCCGGCGCGCTCTCCCCCCTCAAATTTCCGGCGCGCTCTTCCCCCAAAATTTGCGTTTTTTCGGCGCGCTCTTTCCCCTCAAAGTTATTAAACATTTGCGCTGAAGGCGCCTTTAGAAAACTTTTAGGGTCCGTTAGCCAAAATGGATATTCAAAATAGTACAAAGGGTGGACTCTTTGGTTCGAGAGAGGGGCGACTCCCCAAAATAAAAAGGCGTCCGCCCCCACCCTCCCTCCTAAATCCGCCCCCACCCTCCCTCCTAAATCCGCCCCTGCTCGCATTGCTTTTGTTTTCTTGAGACCGAGTTTTTTGGAATGCATGTTCTAGTTCATAACTTAAAAATCAATATGCAATTTTGCAATTAGGCATTTAATCATAAACATCCTATCATAACAGGAATTGATTTCTATGGATATGAAAGGATAATCCGTTAGTGTATCTAATACACGTTCTGAGAAAAAACATCTAAGCTTCAAAAGAATGTTTGGAAGAAGAATTTTTTCTAAATTATCGGCTGTTCGTTTTTTTAATTGTTGCTCTACACCGAGCATATTAGTAAATAATTAAATTTGTTGTTTTTTTTTAATCGGCATACCTTCAATGGTGAATGCAGTCTACTTTCGTTACGTAATGGAACATTAGGAATAACTTGTTTGCACGATTTTAACTGAGACAATAACAGAAAAAACGACGGTAATTGGTAATTCAAGTCAATGCTATCTTTTCAGCAAGCGCAAAGGCTTATTAAATTCTATGCTAAATTTTTTCTTTGCATACTGATCTGAAAAAAAATATATATTTTCATCTACGCGCCATTGAGGGAAACGCAAGCAGTAAATGTTGTTCATCGATGCAGCTCGTAGTCGTTGGACTGTTTAAAGAGCAGAAGGCAGTTGGATTGGAAATAGGACATGTTAAGAGAAAAGATAATAAAATGTCTATTTCTACCCATTTTGACCAGGAAGAATTTTATATATTTTCTTACTAATAAAGATTTCAACTTATTTTTTTCCTGAAATCATAAAAAGGTATTAGAATCATTCTGTACTGCCAGTCTTGAAAATTTTATCTGCATTGAAACAAAGATAATTTTTGATTTTTGACTTCAGGTTGAGATAAATTTAAAAAAGGCTAATTAAGAATAATCACACGAAAGTAAATTCATCAAGATGTTTTAAAACCACGTTTTTAAAAAAGAGTAGGTTTTTTTTTGCGTTTAGCACAGAACGTTATGACTACCATAATTCATGCTTAAGTGTCCATAAAAACATGAAAAAAATCATCATTTACTACAGTTTTTTTTTTGAAATATCCAGTATTTTGACAAAGAGATGATTGTGTAGCGTAGAAAGAGCAAAAAATGAGAAATATTCCTGGTTTGAGTTATAAGAGACAGCTGTAGAAGTATGTGTGTTAGTCAACTGTCCGTCCTAAATATTCGCGATATTTTTTTCTCGACAATAAGACAATTTTTGAGATTTTTTTTTAATCCAAATAACTGGCAAAATTTAATATGTTACCACACTCAATTACGTACAAATTCAACAAGAACAAAAAAATTCTACGCCATAGTTCTTACCCGTCACTTCATGACGTGGTCAGATCAAAAACAATTGGAATGGATCATCTAATTAGTAAAAAAAAATGTAAGAGATCAAATTATTTTCGAAGACGATAACAAAGACGCTCTGTCAGGTTACGTTTAGTTTCATATTTGCCGCCACTTGAATAACTTTGACTGCAACAGTAGTACCAATGAAAGTTCCAGGCGCAAAGAAACGGTCTCGCAATAGAGAGAACTTTGCTCACCAGAATAATGCAGTCTGGCATGTGGGCAAATAATAGAAATGACTGCCTTAAGATTGCCAAATTTTGCAGGCGTTTTCATTTTAGCTTACAACAAAAATACCAAACAAAAAATTGATACATGCAAAGTTTTTGTTATTTGAAATATTTCCTACCGTGGTAACTTTTAAATTTCAAAATTGTTAAGGGTTTCAATGTAAGTTCAAGGCATGACTCAAATAAAATTTTTCTCTTGAGCAAACCGTGACTCATGTTGCGATTTTGTGTGACTCATGTTGCGCGACTCATGTTGCGATTTTGCGTGACCCATGTTGCGACTTTCCGCGTGCTATGTTGTGACGTTGCATTACACATGTTCCGACTGTAAGCAACCTATTTTTTGCTTTGCGATTTTGCGCGGCCCATTTTCAGCTAATGCTACGGCTTTGCGCGACGCTTGTTGCGACTTTGCGTGACCCAAACCGCAGACGAGGAAATGGAATTTGGGTCGCGGAAGGTCCATTTCCGCAACTATTTTGGTCGCAGAATAAGTTGCGCACTCGGTCTGGAGGATTTAGTGAGCCTGATTGTTTCTTTTTTTTTCATTGGTCCCCCTTGGTGTTATTTTTTCGACATTCATTTTCGGCCGACTGACACTGAAAATTTCTTTTGGCGCCACAACAAATCTGTTTTGAGTGGACGCCAACGTCAAATATTTTATTGAGATTTCTTGTATTTGACTATGCTGCTGAAAGATTTGTCAAATTCGTGTCGTTACGGAATTTTGGAGAACTTGAGAAAATTTTTTGGTTGACCTAAAAAAAGGCTGCCGCCAAAAACTTTTGAATTTGCGCCTGCTGCCCTTTCTAGAAAACCTTAGCACCACCCTTGTTAAGCATCTTCTTTTTAAAACCTCATAATTTCCATCTGAAAATACCAAATATAATTTTTTGGTCTGAAAAAAAAACACTATGTTTTGTTACCGTTGGTCTGAGCTTGAAATCACTAATACAAAAATGCAATCTATTGCAATCAACTATGTTCTCCATAAAATGATTATGCTTTTGAAACGTTTAAAATTTGTTTTGGGCGATTTTCATTGTTTCTAATGGTTTTTTATAAACGAAACAAACAATTTGAAACTAAACAGCTTATAAAGCTAAGTCATTACATATTCTTTGAATATAACTTCTTTTTGGTAAAATTGAAATATATTAACGTTTTTGCTTCAAAATTACCCAAAAAACTGTTTTTGAATAAAATTTTAAATCTTTCCGTTGAATTCCTCGCTGAAATGTTTTGTTTTTCAAACGCCTTTTAGGTAGTGATACTAAATTTGCGTAGCATGTGTGTTACAACCGGGCGTTAGTTTTTTTTCCGTAAAATTTTTTCTACTTAGGACTTATTTATATTCTTTTCCTGAACGCTTTTGTTGGCATTAAATGTACCAACCACAGCAGACTAACGTTTTGTGTGTTAGCTCTTTAAGCTTTTTCAGTATCTGTCCAATTTTTTTGAGATGGTTTTTTTTGTTCCAACCCAATTTGTTAAAATATCATTTTTTTGTCTTTGTTCCTTTTCTTTTTTTTCGTGTTTAAAATCTTCCTAAATAGGTACTTAACATTTTATTACCACGTGGTAGCGTTTTTTTCCGATGCTAATTTACAATTCTAGTGTCATGGATTTTTTTCCAAAATTAATTTTTTTCAAGTTAATAGCTCTAGTTTTTTAAGTTTTTCAAACTTATCTTAATTTTTTTCATCTCAGCGGCTCTCTTGTTTTGTATCGAAGCTCCACTTTGCCTCTGCTTTAAAGTTTTTTTCCAGCCGCAACAACCGGCTGGAAAAAAAACAGCCGTAATTTTTGAACTCCCATAAAATGTTAAATATCCATACAATCAAACAGAGAATCCAAAATCAATCTGGTTTTTGGTTATAAATATACGCAATTTTGTCTGTGTTCTCTAGCTAAAACTTCATCATAAAAAAAAACTTCTACACTATTATTGCCAAAATTTTATACAACTGTGCAAATTGTGGTTTGCTAGTTCAAGATTTGTTGGAAAAAATACTTTGTGAAATAAGCAGTTTGTTAAATGGGTACAAATGAAAAATATACATTTTTGAAAAGCTATTGAATATTAAGTCCATCTATTCAACATCCAATCAACTCTTTTGCACAATATAACCAAGTTGCTTAATCGCATGCTCTGTTCTGATCGGCACTTAACTTTAGAAATTTTGTACACTTGTCCTTCAAATTTTTAGCGGCTTCCTACGCAGATTGCTACGGATGGTCCACGACTGCCATAATTTTCAAAATAAATAAACTCAGATTGGATGATTTGCGGTAAATGAGACTGGATAAAAAAAGCTGAGACATCTGTTAGATCAATTCTTACTTGATTTTTTAATTCGAGATGTCTTTTTAGATGCAAATAACGACTGACAGGATTGAGTTATTCCCGATGTGGTTAACTCATAGAGTAATTTCGGATAGGGTACACCGTCTGCTCGTCACGCTATCTTATTTTCGGCCAGATAGATTCGTGCAACTTCTTAGTCTAATACCAATCCTAATCTTACTCTTATACTTTCTAGTCTCAGGGTGTTTAACTAATCTCTGCTAGGCTCAATAGATCTAGAGTATACTGGTTTATTGCGGCTGCTGAAGTTCTCTTGGAAAGACAACTAATTTCTAAGTTAAACTCAAATCTATCTGGTGCTGAAATTACAAGTAATTTCAGCACTTACAAATAAGTGGGTTGTTAGTTAGATGGATCATGATTGGTTAATATTAAATACTTTACAGTGGTAAAATATCTAATTTATCCAATCATAAAATATAGTTTAGATCAGGTTCCACCCATCCGGGTTTTACAGAGTTTTTTAGAATTATCTTTCTGCGATTCAAAGGATGGATGATGAACGTTGGTATTTGGCAAACATCGTATTCTTGTCCGGTTTCTCTTGTTAGAGAAGTTCCAGGACGCTGGAGTTAGGGACATCAATCGTTGTGTCTTCTTGTGACAACGACTCTGTTTCCCAACGAAATCAATCTGATTTCAAAATGGTTTGCTATGACGAGTTTTTCTGTATTATGTAGAGAACTTGTTTTGTGTCAACCTCGTCTGGGAATGGCGTGGAGATTGTGCGTGGAGGGGATGCCTTGTAACTCGGATCTGTACGTATACTTGAACATCGAGGTGGTCATTGGTCTAATTCAATGAAGTCGTTTTCTGCGAAGTCAAGTCGTACTCTAAATCCTTTGAGTTGTGATTGTGGACGGCATATTGGTTGCGGTTGGCCATTCTTGTTCAAGTGTAGTGGGGTCATTTTGTCTTTGGATGTTCGTTTTTGTTGTTATGTGCTGATCTATATACTGCAAGGTATGATTTACATTTTATAAAATTTTTATTAGTTCAGTTTTTGAATTATGATTTTAGTTAGTTGTTTTCACAAAAGCATTTTGTTTTAGTTCGGTTATTTTGAAGAGTTACTCACCCTTGAGTACCTTTTATTAAAAATAGAAGTGTGGTCACAAAGCATGGATGTAGCGCGGTGGGTTAGGCCGGCTATAGAGCATGCTCAGGGCGTCCTCTCTGGTGGGTTAGGCCAGGAGTGGGAGTATGATTTCGTGCGGTTTCTTTGAGAGGTCCTGTTATGTGATAACTTTTAATGTTGGGTTTATATTGGTCTTTCTTATGTTCCTTTTGTTGTGTCCTTTTTTCAAAAATCAAATTGTTTTTGTTATGGGTTTGTCTTTTGACTTTTTTGTGTTTTTTTATTTCTTTCTTAGACTTTATAATAGTCTTCAAAAGAATAAATTATCCAGTTTTGAACTGGGTTAATCCGGTTTGGGTTCCGTTGGTTTTCTTTTCTTAGTCATGCTGTTATTTTATGAACTGTGGTGTTTAGTAAGCTGCGTTGGTTAGTTTGGTTTAGTATATAATTCCTTTCCAACCGGGTTAAAGGA